AATCTACTTCCACATTTTCCAAATTATTGGAGGATGCTGCACAACAACTTTATCCTGGTTGCGAGACATTCTCCAAGTTATCACTAATTGTGGAACTGTTCCAAATCAAGTGTCTTTATGGGTTGAGTGGTAAAGCAGTTGATAGCATACTAAAGTTATTTAAACGAGCACTTCCTTCTGGTGAAACTTTACTAGAGTCATTTTATGGAGCAAAAAAAGTGATTCAAAATTTAGGTCTTCATTATGAAAAGATACATGCTTGCGAGAATGATTGTATGTTATTTTGGAAACATAATGCGAAAGCTGAATCCTGCTTGATTTGTGGGGAGTCTAGGTGGAAATCAGTTGAAGGTCAAAACACTAATGGGGATACTCAAGGAAAAACTGGGAAAAAAGTTCCTCGAAAAGTGTTGCGTTACCTTCCCTTGAAACCAAGATTGCAAAGGTTATTTATATCACTAGAAATAGTTTCAGACATGACATGGCATCATGATCGACGTTCAAAATATGGGGTTCTTAGACATCCAGCAGACTCTGAAGCATGGAAACATTTTGATACATTAAATCCGGGCTTTGCTAGAGATCCTCGTAATGTTAGACTTGGTTTAGCATCTGATGGGGTAAATCCTTTTGGTAATTTAAGTGTTTCTCACAGCACTTGGCCAGTGATCACTACTGTCTACAACTTACCCCCTTGGATGTGCATGAAGAAACCATATTGTTTCTTATCTTTGTTGATACCTAGTCCTAAAGCTCCTGGAAATGATATTGATGTACACTTAGAACCATTGATAGATGAGTTACGAGAACTATGGTTTTATGGAGTCGATACATATGATGCTTCGAGAAAAGAGAATTTTTGTATGCGGGCAGCACTCTTATGGACTATAAATGATTTTTCCGCTTATGCCAATTTATCTGGATGGAGTACAAAAGGAGCTTTGGCTTGTCCGTTATGCAACAAAGACATACCATCTACTCGATTAAGGAATGGTCGTAAGTTTTCTTATATGGGTGCTCGTAGATTTTTATCATCTAATCATAAGTGGCAGAGTAATAAACGTGATTTTCATGGAAAAGTAGAAAGAAGATCTGCTCCAGAAATTCTTTCTGGAAAGGATGTTTTAAACCAATTGCTTACTCTTGAGGACATGAAATTTGGTAAGACTTCGAAAAAATGGAAGTACAAAAAAAGTAAAGGCATTCATAACTGGAGGAAGTAAAGCATCTTTTTCAAGCTTCCTTATTGGAAAAATAATTTAATACATCATAATTTAGATGTGATGCATATTGAGAAAATGTGTGTGATAATATCATTGGGACATTATTAGATATTGAAGGAAAAACAAAAGATAATTTGAATGCTCGTCATGATTTGAAGGAAATGGGTATAAGAAGTGAGTTGCATCCAACTCAAAGGGATGGAAGATTGTGTTATCCGGCAGCATGCTATTCTTTATCAGCAGATGAGAAGTCTAAAGTATGCAAATTCTTGAAAATGATTAAGGTTCCAAATGGTTATTCTTCTAATATATCACGGTGGGTGAAGTCAGAAGATCGTAAAATTTATGGACTGAAGAGTCATGATTCTCATATTCTGTTGGAACAATTGCTTCCTCTTGCAATTCGCGGAGTCGTGCCAAATAATGTATATGATGCTATCACTGAGTTAAGTATTTTCTTCAGAGAATTGTGCTCGAAAACATTAAGAGTTGATGTGTTGGACCAACTTGCAACTCAAATTCCGATAACATTGAGCAAATTAGAGAAAATATTTCTACCGGCATTTTTTGATGTTATGGTACACTTAGTCATTCATCTTCCAAGAGAGGCTAAACTTGGTGGACCTGTACAATATAGGTGGATGTACCCAATTGAGCGGTATGTTTCAATTTAAAATTTTGATTTAATTTTATGTGGTTTGTTAATTTATCATTCTAATTTGAGTGGTATCTTGTTATATCTTGCAAATTTTTACGCACATTGAAATGTTATGTTCGTAATAGAAATCAACCTAAAGGATCTATTGCAGAAGGGTATATTGTTGAAGAAAGTATAATATTTTGTTCAAGGTACTTACCTGGAAATGTGAAAGGATATGATCGAATGGATAAGAATTATGAAGATGATCATATTAAGACATATAGTGGATTATCCGTATCTGAAAGAAAAGGTTCTCCTTTATTAAGAGATGCATCTAGAAATCTTGAAGAGTTAGAGAGAAAACAAGCTCATCTTTATGTCTTGAGAAATTGTGAAGAAGTGCAACCATTTTTACGGTATGTTTTTTTATTGCATTCGCTAATTTACTATATTAGATCCCGAGTCTAAGTTAACAATTGAACATATTACGAAGCAAAAAAAAATTTACTGTCAGTGGACAGAGAGACAATTTTATAAAGGAGTATGACAGTAGTAAAATTTGGGGCAAATATCACATTCAGTGCTAACATCATACAATACTATTAGGATTGAAAGGTGATCTGATCTCTGGTTGTATTACTCTCTGCAAGTAGCTCAAGTGTTGTTCCTTTGGCATTCTACATTCTATTCAATGTCATACTCCCACTAGCGTCAACTACATATCTCACCTGAAAGACAAATCATCAAGAATAAGATTCAGTCAATACTTTGTCTACTTAGCTACGTCCTTCAGTAGACTTCCCAAATATCATAAACATGGTTCTAGATATAGCGGTTGCTCATTAACCACAAGAATGCTATCAAATATTGAGATTTATGTAACAAGTAATGATAGTTAAAGAATGTTTTTTGTTCATTATTATACCATAAGTATGTACCCTACGTTTTGGTTATACTTGAGGGATGATTTTATCCCAAAACACTCATCCGGATTGACCTCTCTAATCATCTGACCACACAAATCCAACACCATATCTCCCTTTCCTTGCATTTTCAATTCACTTAGCATGTGTACCCATTTACCCATCAAAATATTCCCAGAGAAGTTACCTTTCTTAACCCTATCTTCATCTTTTATTTTATTTTTAATTAATGTACACTTATTTGTATTACAGTGAGTATGAACAGAGTAATAAAAGCATGAACTTTGATGATTGGTTTTTTCATCGGGTAAGTTTTTATTGTCTTTCAAATTAAATTTGTGATACTTATTTATCATCATTAATTTATATATTTTTTTGTATAGATTGTACAAATGCGCAAAGAAAAAAATGAACTCGCAACCTGTGAATTGTATTCTTTGGCTAGAGGCCCTTTTGATGGTGTTCAAAGATTCAAGGGGTATGAAATAAATGGGTTTAGATTTCATACTAAACTACTTGAGGAAACGAGGAAGACCCAAAATAGTGGTGTTTTAGTAAGAGGAGAAGCGAATGGTAAGAATATTAATTACTATGGTGTTTTGACTGAAATAATAGAACTTCAATATTTTGAAGGTAAACGGGTTGTTTTGTTTAAATGTGATTGGTGGGATGTTGATCACATCGGAATAGGAGTGAAAATAGATAAACATGATTTTGTTAGTGTTAACACTAAGCGAAAACTAGTAACAAATGAACCATTTGTGCTTGCATCTCAAGCAGAACAAGTTTTTTATGTGAAGGACCATCTTCATCCCAGTTGGTCAATTGTTTTGAATGGTCATTCTACCTATTTTACCGGAGGTGCTATTGATGAAGATACTTTTCAACAAGATGCTTGTAATGAGTTATTGCATATATGTGAGGATGATGAAGACATTATGAATTGGAAAAGAAATTATCTTGATGTTATTCGTACTGATGTTACCTTGGCTCATGATATTATTGAAGTCAGTGAATCAGAACCAGAAACTGATGATGAAGATTTGTTATTATAGATAGTTTGAACTCTTATTTCCATATTGCTTATATTCAATTAAGGTTAACAATTTTATTTACTTATTCCTGAGAGATGGATCTTTATTTTATTGAGTTACTCTTATTGGATACAAATCAATATTCAGTAGTATTGAGTTGATAATATGATAATATCAATTGTATTGAGTTGGAATATTAT